ATTAATGTTGATAGTCAGATAGTATTACTAGAAGATTTCTCATGGATCATGGGCAATGCTACATAACTGAAATGAGTACATGGACTATAAACTCATCAACATAAATATTACGAAAAGAATTCTCATGGACTATGAACTTATTACTATAAGTGGTAACAAGCACATGCATGCAAGCCCTTAAAATTGACCGGTCATATTTGGAACGCGACGCATTTTTTGAGGTGTCGTGATCCCCCATAGATAGGGATCAAGATCCTTTGAAATCAAGGATCGAGATTCTTTTAGATTAAGAACCGAAATCCCAATAGGTAGGTATCAAGATATCCTTATGGGAGGAAGCGAGTACCGCTCAGGCTCCGGTTCCGGATTGCAATATCGAGTTTCCAAGAGGGGAATGCCACCCCTTGACCAAGATCACCGCAACTATGAACAAGAGGATGTAGTGAAGGAAGTTGGTAAGGAATACATCACCCAGGTCATGACTTACAATGGGCCAAGAACTATGTGAATGCTGGAAGGAGGTTAACGAAGCGAAAGCATTTGATTTGGAATCCATGTGGAGCCCACTGCAGGGACCTCATTCTTGAAGATTTTCAGCAACTAAAGCAGGTTGAGGACAATGTGAGAAGAGAAAGACCATAACAAGGTTCACATACAACCCTTCATGGGTCTTCAACACTAGGAGGTGCTACACAACCAGGAGGGAGCCGACTAGGGAAGCCATCACAAGATTCACTAGCACATTCTTGTCAACACAATTGATATTGCGTATTGCTGGGCCTAGAAAAATGGTTTCCTTAGGTCAATGCCTCTATCTGAAGCACTCCGGCAAGAAGAGAAGTTGAAGGGGTAATTAATAGCCAGAGGTCTTGGGATAGATATAAGCAGATAGTGGATGTCTTTTAGCCATGATTAAGTCAGATAAGAAGCCACTATAGGGCTCTGGTATGAAACAATTGCTTGTGTAAAGTAGGCCATTGAGGTGAGCTGAAATTTCGTTACAAAATCTGAGGAACAAATAAGGAAAAAGCTTATATAAGGGTGATGCCCTAACAATCAAATTAAGGCACACCTCAAAAATTTTACTAGAAGAGGTTGTTTTGATGCACAAATATCCTCAAATCGATCACCTCAATCTCAAGATATATGGACATGAGAAAACATGGATTTCAAGTCTTGAAAATATTGCATCTTGTAATATATTTTTTGGACCGTGAATTTTCAAGTGTTCATGGATCTGCTCAATCTACACTAATTTTGAAGCTTTAAATTTTATAATTAGGAATAAAAATTAATTAGATATAAAAATAAATTTTGTGAACAACATCTTTCGACACTACTTGAAGGTGCATCTTACTTTGATTGTTTAGGGCCTCAGCCTTATACAAACCACACCCAATAATTAATGAGGAATGGGATGAATATGTTGCACTTCAAGATCCACGCAGCAGTGCAACTCAGTATTGAAAAACTCCCAAGTTCAACTTGGACCAGGCATGCTGCCGAGTTAGGGAGGCTCCCATCAAGTACTTGCCCAAGTTACTATAGGAACTCAAGTAAGTATTGGACAATTCAGATGAATTCTGTGGAGATCCACCAAAACTCGCCAAGACCATAATTTTTTATTATCCATAGGGCGGGAAAAGGAGAAGAAGAGGGGGGAGTGAGATCTGATCCCGACTTTCTTCCTCATATTTGACCTTAGATTTCTCAGAAACTTCAACCCTAGTGTATGAATTTTTTCATCCACAATAAATTTCAAACATCAGATTCAGGAAAAACAAAGAAAAAATAAAAAATAAAAATTTTTGAGTAGCTAGATTCTTTTTCAACCTAGGTTTTTGCTTGAAGTTGCTTGCTTGTGATATTTTCACAACCTAAGCTCAATCCACCCTGAAAATTCTTTTCTAAACAGGTTTTTTTGCCATCTACTAATTCAAGGGTTAGATTCCATAAAAGACACTCAAAATCTCATATTTGCAAGATTGTGAGTATTGAAATAAGGCTTGGCCAAAAATTTCAAGAGCTTGGATCAATTAGATCAGAGCACAAATCCCAATCCCACTTTATATACAAGTTTTCTTAATTTTCATTTGTTTCCTTTTTTTTGGATTCTTTTAGTTCTTTTTGGGGGATTAAGCGATTGCACATGGGAATCGCTGAGTCAACTAGGTCCAAGCAGATGCCAAGTCCTCGTTTTAGAATTTAACAATTACAGCCTTTGGGGTTATGGATTCAGGATGGATAGACTTGGTTTATAGTTTGATAAGAGTTCATATATTAATCATCGGTTCATGTATTAAACGTTTTTGTTATTTAGGTTTCTTCATCAATGCAACATGCTTCAATACTCTAGGAACATATCACCCAAAGATCATGGATGGGGTCAAATATTATATAGAGTTCTAAGCGAGATGGAGTCATGCTTGATGCTTGGAAGGAGGAAAGAAAGATTTAACAAACTTTCCCTACTTAGCATTATGATATATGTAAGCAACATTCACAAACCACTAAAACTTGTTCCTTTCTAAGCTCTCTGAGAATGGATGTGCAAGGGGAATTTTCAATAAACATGGCTAGAAGATCTTGCTCTCAGTTGATGCCTCAACATAACGTCCCGCCTTCCACTCCTACCATTAACATATCAACATCATCATTAGAGCCTCATCTCAACTTTTGGGGTTGGTTACACGAATCCTATTTCGCCATTCTACTCTATCAAGGGCCATACCCTCAATACGACTATAAGTCCCCATATCTTTTCTCACTCCTTCCATTTATGCCCTTTTGGGCTTTCCACTTGTCGTTTGAAGCCTTCCACTTGAACCAAATCGCACCTCCTAACTGGTGTTATATTGGGTCTACACTGAATATGGCCTGCCCAACCTAAGTCTATTTTCCCTCATTTTATTGCTCATTGAAGCCACACTTAAGTTCTCCCGAATGTATATATTTTGAGTTCTATCCTTTCATGTCTTGCCACCAATCTATCTCAGCATCCTCATCTCAGCTACACTCATCCTATAGGTGTATTGTTCCTTGACCACCCAAAATTCCATCCCATAAAGCAAAGCTAGTCTCACAACTATCCTATAGAACTTTCTTTTCAATTTCATTAGTATGCAACAATCACGTAATACTCCAAATGCACATCTCCACTTTGCCCACTCAACTCTAATTCTATATGCATCATCATCTTCAATCTCTCTATTTTCTTGGATTGTTGACCCAAGTTATTGAAAATACTCTCTTTTTGGTATTTCTTGGCCATCAATCTTAACTACTTCGTCATTTCTACTCTTATTATTACTAAAGTTGTATTCCATAAATTCTATCTTAGTCTGGCTCATTTTGAAACCTTTAGACTCCAGATCATCCTTCTTATGTTCTAACTTTGCGTTGATGCCGCTTCTAGTCTCATGGATCAAAACTATTTCATCCGCGAACAACATATGCCACAATACCTCATCTTATAGGAGTCTAGTTAACTCGTCCATACCTAAAACAAAGAAATATGGGCTCAACGCTGACCTTTGATGTAGGCCTATTATCACTGAAAACTCCTCTCCACTAGTTGTTCATACACTAGTTAGCGCTCCCTCATACATATCTCTATGTCAGTATAGCATATGAAGACTCCTTTCTTTTCCAAAACCCATCAAATTAAATCTCTAAGTACCCTATTGTAAGCTTCCCCTAAATCAATAAAGACCATGTGGAGATCTTTTCCCTTCTCCATGAACTTCTCAATCAATTGCTTAAGTAGGAAAACGACCTTAATTGTTGACCTCCCTGATATAAAACCGAATTGATTTTCCGATTCACTTATTTGATGCCTTAGTCGTTGCTCAATCACTCTTTCCACAGCTTCATAGTGTGGCTCATAAGTTTGATCCCTCAATAATTTGCACAATTCTATGTCTACTTTGTTCTTGTAAATAGCTATCACAACATTTTTGAACCATTCGTCTAGCATTTTTTTAATTCCCAACACCTTTTTGAACAACTTAGTCAGCCAGCATATGCCAATCTCCCCCATGCACTTCCAAAACTCTTTCCGGATACCATCTGGTCCTAAAGCCTTTCCTATCTTTTTCCTCCTCAAAGCTTCTTTCGTTTCAGATATCTTAACATTGTGCATGTATCTTTGACTTCTGCCTTCATTTATTCCAAAGGCTTCTAGAGAGACCTATATCATTAAACATATTAAAAAAAAAAAAAAAGCACTCTCCTTACCTGAAAAGAATTGCAATCAAGGAACTCGATGAAATATTACTCAACCATGAGAGCATCATTCTTGAACTACTACGGAGATATTCAGGAAGAGTGTGATCCTTGCCACTATTCATAGCAGCAGTAGAAGTTTGGGGGGCCATTTAGAGAAAGACTTTTGGTGTTTTGTGTTTGTTTGTGAGTTGACTCCAATAGGCAATTTTATGTCGTACATATTTCTTTTCCTCATGAATACATTGCACTTTTTGCATTGACTTGTTAGTCGTGACTTGTGAACAGAGAGCTATTTGTTGGAACTTGGAAGTAGTTTGAATATTTGAAGTTTAAAAGATATCTATAATTTGGCTTGCTCCAAGGAATGTGAGTATACTAGTATTTACATCTGTATACCAAATTTGCACTACAATGGTATAAATACTTGCAACGATTTAATTGGACCATTAGAACATATGCCAAATAGTAAGCAAGGCAATAAAATGTTTATTACATCATTATCTATAAGTTTTTTCTTTCTTCTTAAACATACTTTTTTTATCAACTTTTTCTATTTTCCTTAATTTTTGCATTTTCCTTTTTTTGGACTTTTCCCCTACACAGTTCCGGATTTTAAAAGACTCTTTGAACCCCAACCCCGACCCACATTAAAAAGGACACCCTCCCTCCCTCTATTCATATTGGACATACATACTTATAAATGCATGAAAATACACAACAAGCACAGATATGCTCAACAGCAAGTGCATCCTTATCCATATTGTAAAACATACCTTACATAGGTCATACAAGCTGGCAGAATAGTGGCGGGGTCTATCAAGAAAACTAAATATAAATGATGTATCAATCACCCTCCTATGATCGATTTTCAGAGCTGCACAGAGAAAGGAAAATGCAAACAATTGCATGTAAACTTAATTGATAAAAAGCTGAAGCACCTAGATATCTATCCCAAAATCACAGTAGCCATGATTTGGATAATTGAGTCCAAAAGAACTTAAGGATTTCATTTAGTCACAAACAAGGATACAGCATGCATACCTTGTAAATCATTATGTAAGCTGTGGCCAACTAAAATCATTCCCGGTTTCAGTAGCTTTTTGAGCAATATCTGCAGAGGTCACAATGTCAACTAAAAGCAAGAACTTAAAAGATTAGCAAAACAGAAAATATGTTAGCATAACAAAACTTGTGTTACCTGTATATCTGATAAACAACAAGATACATCTTTCAAGTCTTCTTCTGTTATTCCAGTAATATCTGTCCGATAGTCACTAACAACCTTCATGGGATTTACAAGCTTGTCAAGCTTGACCTAAGTCAAACAACAACAAAAAAAATATCTCCAGAAAATTAATCAAAAAACAAACACCACCTTCATAAGGAACAGTATGCCGACTAGTTTCAGAAGCGTGTAGGAATTGTTCTTTCTTAGATAAGAATATTTGAGAGTGTCAGCGCAAATAACGTAAAGAGCCCTTAAAAATTCTTTTCAAAGGTTATGCACAACATGGCAAATGGTAGAAGAGCTTTGTCAGTCAAACAGCAGATTTAACATTGCAACCTTACCTCCATATTCTGATCCACAACACATACTTTCACCACTTCCTCAGTACCATCTTGGCAAAGCACCATCTCACAATCAACAGCAACCATCGCATTTGATTTCAAAACCTTGGAAATTTTACCAACCCTAGTAATCACCCAGTCCTGCCATTTTGTTCCAATGAGTTCTCGAAAACAAAATCAAAACCCAATCTGCAAAGATATAATGCTAAAGTTAACCATGCAAGTAGAATTACATCACCCCAAAGCACCCACTCCTGGGAAGAATGGTCCTGCAACACTATGTTTTTTCAAGCACAGAACACCCTAAAGTTATCACATTTTTGGTCCCCAGTGTGCATCAGAAATAAAACAACCAACAACATGTAAAACATGCCTCAAAGTTGTCACTATACCTGTTGGCATTACGTCTTTGTTGACGAATGATTCACAGCGACTCACATCCACAGAAAGACATGTTATGCAAAAGACCTATTAGAGTTTTCATTCTATTCTTCAGTTAATGTTTGTAATAAATTGCTCATCTGGCAGGCATTTTGGCCTGAAGAATGCTATGTAATTGTATAGAAGTTTTTGAAACGTCACAAACACTTGCAAATCAAAGATGTTGGGGTGCCAAATGGACAGGCTAGGGTTGGCCTAAGCCTAGCCCAACAAACTAGGGGCTTGACTTGAACACGACGAGCTGAAAGAGGCTAGACCGGGCCTCGCTCATTGCCATGAGTAGAGCCCGGGCCGATCTTCATTATTAGATCAAACTGGGCCAGGCCTAGGCTAAATCGCAGGCTTGGATACTTTTTATACTCCACACCACCATAAAAACTTCCTTTCGGTAGTTTAGTGCAGCGTTAGCATTGTTGATACCTTAACCAATCAAGGCTCAAGCCTGAATCCTGGATCACCTGAATCTATTGAGTTTTCTAGAGAGATCACTGGTACTTCCACCTCTCATTGTCTAAATGGTGATTTTACTCCTCTTTGGGATCCATCTGGGCTAAGTGGTGGATGGCTTCTAGAAGGTACGTTTACGTTTCAGCAGTTTTCAAGATAGCAATCTTGAGAACGGTCGTCGTTGGGAATTTGTCGTACAATAGATTTATTACATTTGTTATAGTTTTTCATCATCATCCTCATCATCATCATCGCTAGATCCTTTTCCAACTAATTCGGGTTGGCTAAATGAATCCTGTTCCGCTCCAGATGCATGAGAAGTTTTGACAAAGATTTACATTGGCTGCCTACCTAACACAACCTACCTCCTCTATTTAGGCTTGAGACGGGGTACGGGAAAGTTTTTAACAAATTGTCTTTTATGCGTGGCTTAGTCATTTTTAATAAGTTGTCTTTTATGCGTAGCTTAGTCATTAAGTAAGGATACATGTGTAATCATCACCAAAAACAATAGCTACCCTTTTTTCTTGAAGAAAGGGTGACAATAACAGTATTATATAAAATCATCATCATAATAGCTTTTTCCCAATTAATTGGGTCGGCTAGAGGAATCTTGGTTCGCCATTCTACTCTATTAAAGGCCATACCTTCAACGAGGCCATAAGTCCCCATATCTTTTAAAACTACTTCCAGCCACATTCTTTTGGGCCTGCCCCTTGCCCTTTTCAATCCTTTCACTTGAACTAACTCGCACCTCCTAACAGATTGGTCAATGCCACACATGGCCAGCCCACCTAGGTCTACTTTCTCTCATCTTATTGTCTATTGGTGCCACACGTAAATTCTCCCGGATGGATTCATTACGAATTCTATCCCTTCTTGTCTTGCCAATCATCCATGTCAACATCCTCATCCCTTATTATATGAAATATGCTTTACAAAAACCCACAAGATATGGGTGCAGGCAGCCCACATGGCAAGCGCTCAAATTTGTACAAACAAAATTATAATACACCATCAATCTCAGAATTAGAGAGACAGAAATGGTGGTTTGGGAAGTAGAGAGAGAGAGAGAGTATGGAATTCAAGTGGAGACTGATGAGAAGTCAGGTAGCATAGAGCGAGTGTGGGGAAAGAAAGAAAGAGGAGCGGGGGAGGAAGAGAGAGGAGGATTGAGAGAGGAAAGAGCGAGAGAGAGAAGTGGGTGGAGGAAGAGAGAGGTAATAAGACTGGTTGCTTTTGTCATCTTCAAAATAACATAGACAATAGTTTCACTAAATGACAAGGGTATTGGTCTTGACAAAGTTCCCAGGCACTTACTTTTTACCAAATAATGACCTTTTAGGATAATACACCCATCACAATTCATTTCAATCTCAACTTTTATATTTTGAGGTGTTGGTAACTATA